AAAACAATGCAAATACCAAATTCTCATAGGAACTTATGGTACGTAAGTAGCCATGGCTACCCGAATATCAACAAACACCCAACAAGTACTAGTTAGATTCTGCCCATCCAGCAATTATTTTAGACTAGAAGAGCACAAAATAAAGCCAACATTCTGCAACAAGTACAAGCGATTGGATATTATTCCAGTTATTTTAAAAGTCACCTACATGTCACACACATCGATCTGATCTGATAAGAATTGAGTACCTAATTGCGAAATTAAGCCACTGTGGACTAACAGGTCGCATATTCAAATGGTTAACCAACTTCCGAACAGGTGAAAAAAAATTCATAACAAGAGTGAGCTACCAATTCTAGGACACGTGAACTAGAAAATGATTATACCCAGGGAAATGTACTGTCTCACCTTATTTAGTATTATAACTAAAGCCCTATAACAATAGGCAAAACAATCTCTTACGAACCACTCTAAATTCGTTGACGACAGCGTAATCTTGAAAGCAGGAAATATTTCCAGTTGAAGCTCGTTTTAGGCGATTTGCAAGCAGGTCTGAATAAGACTTGTCGATAGGCCGATAAATTGGGCTTTATACCAGCTCCTCGAGAAACAGTATTGATATTAATTTCCCAAGCCCTTCCCCAAGAAAACCACCATGGGAAACACACAACACTTTTTTTTTAAAACAAGACAAAAATTGCATTCTAAAGAATTGCCAAATTCTTGAGCATACAATGTGAGCACGTAACATTGACACATGATGAATGTTTGTGACAAGACGCAGCCACGATATAACTCTCCTAATAAGTATTAAAGTAACCGACTGGGGAGCGGATCTGGATACACTCCTTACCTTTAGATCGAACTTAAGTTAGATCGACAGTGGATTATAGATGTCAGAACAAGGATTAAGCAAATTCAGTTTTATTAAAGAAATTGATTACATACATTGGTGCAATCAAAACCCACACCGAGAGAAGAGCTACGGATAAAAGTTGGAAAACCACCGCTATAACTGGAAAGAGAGGAACCTCTTCCTAGTTATGCGACCAGGATATCAATTCATCATATGTCTTAGCATTCTAGGTACGTCATCAATACGTTTTAGCCGCAAATTGGTCTTAAAACACTCCATGGCTCTGCTCCCAAAAAAAACTTACATTAAATCCGTTGATCCAAATCGAACAGTAACAGTAGTGGTGTTTCCGAGGATACCGCTCTGGCATCATTACTCCCTGACGGCAATTCCATCTATATTGTGCATTTATGGGCAATCAATCAAAGACTAACACTAATTCAAACCATAAAAACCCAAACATCAGTAATTTTGCAGACTCTCTGAGCGTATTCTGTTATCTGGAATCCAATTACTCCACTGGCAGAGACAACCTCGTGAAATAGGTAAACCTCTCTCCAAAATTAGGCGACAAGCAATAGTACAGTGGAATACATGTTAGCTCCTTCTTCACACAGACATTTCTGGAAACAAAAGTGCTGACAAGGAAGCAAAACTAAAATTTGAAGTACCCTGTTTCATTCAACTAAAATTGCATCCCACACAAATTATTTATCATTAGAAAGCACAAATTAATGGGAATGAAATCAGTTGCAAAAAACGTATGCTGTATTCCATACAAAATCAATTAGCAGAATCATTATGGCCACTAATGTGGAGGTTAAAGTAATGACTAGAATAAAGACTGGAATAACGTTATTAGTCTTTAGCTTTGGAGGCTTTCTATCAGACAATATAACCTAGGGGCACTAAAAATCCTCCAACAATACAATCATAACAAAATACAGCTTTTTAATACATATCAGCGCATTTTTGTTTTCAATGAAAAACCAAGACTACATTATTTATAATATTTTAACTTTCTTCTTGATTCATCGTTAAATATTTATCGTGATATATTGTTTTGAATGGCGAGTACTCTCAACATGATGATAAACTAGAAAGATGATTATCTATTTTCTTGAGAATACGTTCACAAAATGTAAAAGTCTCCCCTAAAAAGACAACAAAAGCAAGCAGGTAAACTAAAACAAGAGCAATGGACAACTGTGAGGGGACCACATGGCTGATTGCTAAACAGGTGTCAGACATGTTTGGTCTTTAAAAACTAAAACCAATGTTAAAGACGTGACAGTTCCCAAGTACAAATTCAAATTGCATTAATGATAGAAGTTTATTACACAGAATCAAGAGGTACGAATAGTCAGAAAAATTCAGTTTTAGAAGATGGAACAAAATTCATAGAAAGAAATTGTTGAGAAGTGTATAATTACAACGACTAAAAAAAGGGATATGACGTAAATAGGAAATCGGTGTATACTGCTTCTAAGATTGCGAACTATTTGAATTTACGCTGCAAAAATGGAAAGTTATATTAAAATGGAAGGTCAACCGATAAAGCGATCCTTTACTAGTATATTCAAAGGCATATAGTAGGGAATTGTTCATTACAGAGAATGTAGTTTATTATTTGCTATTGCAATAGGTAATGATCCATTACAGATCGTGTAGTTTGTTATAATTTATTGCAATTGTTAATTATTCATTACAGAAAGTGTAGTTTGCTATTGGTTTTTGCAATATTTTAATACAAATGCATATTTTTTTCCATAAATGATAAACTTAAAATATGAATAATCAAAGTCAAAGGGTGCATATATGCTAATCTGGACAACGAAGCACTATTTATTTTGAGTGCTTGAAACACAATTTAGTAATTGTTGTCACTCCGAAGAATATTTATACAGCTAATATAGCCAACTACATTTTTAAATTCCTTGAATACAATGTATTAGGAGCTCTATTGATCTCTAAGGATTCTGTTAAACTTTATAGTTTAAAAATCAAAACATTTATATAATTTTGTAGATAATGGCTTTCGTTTGACAAACAACAGCATTACACCTTTATCTAATAGGCAAATGAACTGATGCAACCACTAAATAACTATAAACGAATTGCATATTTGACAATGCGAGATAATTATCTCTTCATGTTAATTAAATAGGACTTAAAAATGCATAGAAGAATTGCATTAGATCAACTATAGTTAGCAAGTAAAGAGCAGTTCATTTACTATCAAACGGGAGATATACAAGGCAAGGTTGATTATTCAATTTAAAATTATTTAGATGATTCTTTTGTTCCTACGTTTGTCTATTAAGTTTTGATGCTGTTTTAGAGAAATTCAGGAATGTACTTTTACTACATTAGTGGCCAGCAGGGGCCAATGAATACTGCAGTCTTATCGAAGTTGATCAGTTTCTCTTAATTTCCAGATATTGAAATATCATTGATACAACATATGAAACTTTTATTTGACATTTAAATGTTTTTTTGTGTGATATTTTAAATTACGGAGTTTGTACCTATTTTAACCGGAGCATAATACCGTCTTTCACGTTGTTATTGTGTTCCATCTATTTTTTTACGTAGATTAAGATAGTTCCAGATGATAAATACAAGACATGGCAATGGATCTAGTTCTAATTTTGAGGATTCAACAAATTATGCAGCCTACCCCTCACAGTTAACATTGTTCATAAGCAGTGATATACAGAAATAACACATAGTGTTAATGTGACGATAAAATTCTATCATAACGAATCCACCTGAAAAAGTTAGATTTATTGTGGTCCTTTATTCCAATGATCCCTGTGGAAAATGTGTTTTCCTAAATTAATATGAAATATGTGGTCATTATGGATGAGATTAGTTAAATATTGATTGGAACAGAAATTTGGCTGCAAGTTTGGAGAGTAAGTATGTAAGAAAATGTCTATGCTATCCACTAACGTTTTCAAGCTAGCAACGTATTGTAACTTTATTTAACCTCTTTTATATATCATCTATATAATCCGATTAAATCATCTCATGATTTTCTATTTCGTTAAATACATAATCTGTGTACACTTCTAACTTTTGACTTGTTATTACATACTTTAATACCATTTATTACATTATATTTGTTCTTGCAAATTATAAAACAATGGAGTCTACTTCAAATTTCACATAATTCTTTTGTTGGTACATATGTATTACTCTAAAGACTAAGCATATAGTTTATGTAGTAAACGTGCATATTTTATTCATATCTTTGTGAACGTAATTTGTTACATGAATACATGCCAAGTGGTAATTAAAAAGAATCTACGTGACTCTTTCAATGTAAAGCCACCTAATTTGATTAATTTGTTGGGATTGTTTGTTGTTTAATTTCGCTAATACTTTATCGTTTTCTTTGTTCTCATTTAAAATAAAAACTCCTTTTGAAGTTTTAACTATTTCATTACCTTTAGTGTATAGTTTAATTGTTTATACATAATGCATTACTTTGACCTTGTTGTATCGTATTCTCCATCATCTTTGTGAGTTCGTTATAATACATTTAATATGATTCAACATATCTGTCGTGAAAAACTGAGTTCCTGACTTCGCATTCAATCATATCTATTGCTTTGTTATGGGATTTATTCATAAATATGCATGTTAAACCCAGATAAAACACTCAGAATATGTACTCGTTTTAGGCCAAATAGTGCAAAGATTTCATTGGTTAATTCGTTGACACATTATGTATATATGAGGTAAAAAAGTAAATAAGAATGAGTAATTTTGTGCACAGCAAGACAATAATGATAGCTTAGAAATACGGCTTTTCATATTTAGCACAAAAGTAGATAAAGCAAAACAAATGTTATTAAACAATAGTTAATTGCCATATTTATTAACTGAATGTGATTATGTGAGTGTGATTATGACTTTTAACGTAGCTTTGAACAATTTTTCAGTCATATCGCTACGATGTCTGCAGTGTGGCAGTTTATAGTGATATCTAGCACTGGGGCATCATGCCGCAGACATGTAGCATGATGTCCCACCCAGTCATTATCCTGACACCAGGCCGGCCAGTCCTAACACTAACCTCTTAATACTGAGCACCAAGCGAGGAAGCTGTAAATACCATTTTTGTAAGTCTTTGGTATGACTCGACCGGGGATCGAGCCCACGACCTTCCGCATCTGAGGCGGACGCCTTAACCACTAGGCCACCGGAGCGGTTCAAATGAATGTATATATTAAATGTTTTAAAATAATAGAGAGTAGCAGAAGTATTAAAATATGATTAGGGCATACCAATATTAAAAACCCAACATGTAATAAAATCCATGGATGTAATGTTATAAAATCCATGGAAGAATCCAAGGTCTGCATAACAAAAATAGCACAAGCTTTAAGCAAACAACCAATTAATTTTTAAATATAACTGATAAGCACAAATAAGACCATATATATTACACAAAGCTAAAATCAATTCAAGCCTAATAAAATAGAAACACATACGGCTTTCAATACAAAATAAAATGCTGTTTCCTGTATAAAAATAACATAACCTCGTTCATTTCTGCTTCTTTTGCCTTCATACACAAAACTGCCGTGGCACTCGCCACCTATTACAAGGCAATCTAAACGTGAAAACGTTGCTAAAGCTTACACTGCATAAACGTTCGTTACATTCCAAGTATTAAATGTGCATATTTTTGTAGAATAGATTCTAATTCTAATTTAGATTATACAGATCCATATATTTGATGAAATTATCAATTTGTCACTAGACCTGAACTTGATTTTCAAAATTAGACAATATTCGGCAATTAACCATCGCCTACCTAGCTACTTACAAGGAAAGTGGAAATTGGAATGAAAGCATAAGATATAAAAAAAACTTGGTAATTCGGAAATTGGTACTGTCCATTGCTTACAATAAGTTATGCTGAGAAATGCGAAAGCTAGTTTTATTACTATATGAGGAACACTTAAATAACACTTGAAATGATGGCAAAACAGCAACCAATTGCAAACATTTTTAATTACAAGACACAGGCAATCAAGTACAAAATAGTAAGTATCAGACCAAAACTGATTTCAGATACTGTATTTTGTCAAAATGTATCTTGCTTAATCTGGAAAATTTTAAGCCATTGAAATTAATAAGTTAAATATAATTCTCGTATTTAAAGATACTCAAACATTTGTTCCGTCAATACTTATTTGTATACATAAAACCTTAACTTATATTCTGTAAATTCGCTACAAATGTCTTAATTAATAAACACCGGATAAAATATGTCATCAATAAGAAGAGTGTAAGGTCATGCGCCTTTGCATTGTTAAGAAACTCATACTTGTACTTTGAGTAGACATATGGTCTTGGTCGGCATATAAGTACATCTGAGTTAAACAAGCGTTTTGTGCAAAGTTACATTATATTTAAAACATGAGCATTATGGTGTGATTTTATCGTCGAATGGAAATACTAATTAATGGTTCCTCGCAATATATGTTAATAAATACAGCGAGAAAAACGGTGGAGGGATTCTGTTTTACATACTGATTTTATATTTTGCTGAGGAAGCAATCTTATCTAATGCATGACATCCATTAAGTCCCAAACAAAGAAACATAATAATACTAAGGACTAACACTAGGATCGTTGCGACCTACGTACAACTATCTTCTCCAGCTAAACATTCAACGTATTGGTTTGTAATTATATTGATAACACAATAATAATAACACACATAATGTTAGGTGTAATGAAACAACATAAGAACACGAATTGCATTAGTAGGGACGTGTTCGCATGAAATAATTTTCTCTACTCGCATTTAAAAATGTCAAATGGACTTTCTAGGCAGCAGATTCCTCTGGTGGTTTGTTGTCGTGGTGACATTAAGAAAAGTGTCATCTCGCCATGCCTAGTTGACACTCAAACCTCTAGAAAGCTAAACAAGAATATTACTCGGTTGCCCTAACTAATATATAGGAAATAATGGTAAGGTATGTATATATCAGACATATTCAACAAATCTACAACGCATGCACTTTCATTCATTCTCTATCATTGCACGGTCATAACATTCCAGCAGGATACAATAATTCAAACCCGCTCTTTAGAAAATGGTAGAATAAGAATGGTTCATTAACGTCCTTCGAAACGAGCTTGCTAGACTAATAGTTAGATAGTTCTGGAGGTAAGCATCACCATATATCTTTGGGATACCAAATATATGGACATGGTCCATTTTGGATACCAAAGATATAGATATGGTCCATTGGGATACCAAAAATATGGATACGGCCCACTGTAAAAAAGACACAAACTGAAATGGTACGGTCATGTCTCAATATCATCTGGACTGGCACAAACAGTCTTGCAAGGCATAGTGTGAGGGTGCATAAGAAGAGACAGACAGAAAAAAGGTGGAAAAACAACGTTAAGGAGTAGACAGGCATGGGCTTTCGAGATCACCAAAAGAGCAGTTGAGAAAAGGGAAAGATGTAGAGAATTAGTTATAAAGTCAACTGAGGTGCCCAGTTACCTATTGGGTTATTGATGTTGATGATGACGACGACGATGATAAAATCATATTGGATCGAATACAATTATAATTCGAATGTAATCCTAAAAATATTGATGAGTATTTACAGTGAGAAATATAGATGAGTATTTACAGCGATTAGAAAACAAATTCCAAACTCCTAATGACATTAATAATTGTCGAAAGCTTAATGTAGTCAAATTAATTTCAGATCTTGAAAAGAAGAAACCTTAACGGAAAATGTGAGAGAAATGAAATCAAATGCTAGTGTTCTAAAACCGTCGAAATTTGAGTTTCATAATGTCTATTACTTGAATCATTACAGCAAAGTTAGGTTTAGACCTAAGAAAACGGATTAGTTGAGTATTCACTTGCCTTAAAGATGAAGTTGATAAATGACCATAGATTTTAAATAAATTATAAAAATATGTAAATCATTGGAAAAAGTCAGTTGACAGATTATCTTACGCATTAAATAAAAAGGGCCATTTGTTCAGCCAAGTTTATAATTGTCTGACGAGTGTTGCAATTTCATAAGTGAAAAAAGAAAATCATTTAAAATTTAATAACTGTCTGACAGAAGGTACTCTGGCATTTGTCTCTTCAAGATGCGGTTTTGATCTTTCTCATAAAGTTTTGACATTCTTATGTCTCAGCTAATTGATATATGTCGTATTTCCTTACTTGAACTTTACAGGAAAAAGAGTATCAAAGAGTCAAATATGTCACCACCATTTATCATCCTTATCAGGAAAACAAGTTAATTTTACAATATTGTTATTACTGTAATTAAAATTCGTGGAAGTTAGTTGCAGATGATTTATCGACACAAATCTATTATGCACAAGTAAAATCAAAACTTGTAAACAGTTTCTTATTCTGGATAAATCTACAAGTGATTTAGTTTGATGGTGAAATTCATTTTTCTGGCAATGCAAAACTCATGGTTAAATATGTAGTGTTCTTTTAAAACACAATTAAGGTGAACTGATTGCCTGCGAAACTGGCTATCAAGTATTTGGTTAAGAAAAAACCTTACAGATGCTACTTTCATGGATATAAGCGAGTCCTCAACGCATGGGGAAGACATATGTCCTAAATCTTTAGCGTAGTACAGCAAAATCTCTGCTAAATAATTAACTGAATGAAACGTGACTTTCAACTTCAATACAGCCAAATACATTGATCATTGAACTTGATTACACCTATTATAAAACAAATGCTACGACCATTGGGTATTAAATTAAAGAGCAGATAAAAGCGAAAATCAGTAAGGGTTGTAAAATTCAGCAAATAATTTATTTCCTTGAGTACAAAGATAATCTTTAGAAATAGAAGTTACAGTATTGTAAATTAAATAGAAAATAGTCGTAAAAGTTCAATCGCATGTCCAAATGAATAGTGTTCGTAATGAATTCTAGTGGTGTTTCGAATCGAATGTACTGATGTGTCATTAGGCTCGAATGTTTTCCATTTCAAGAGTTTAGTAATAGATTCGATCGTTAAAACTAAGAAGCACTATTTTTGTTGAAATGTTGATTTTTCTCTTTAGAGTATCACAAGTCATTTACGTGTTTAGGTCAGAATACCCATTGTTATCATTTGATCATACTGAGTTTTGACAATGATTCTGGTAAATAATAATAATAATAATAATAATAATAATAATAATAATAATAATAATAATAATAATAATAATAATAATAATAATAATAATATAAATATATTAAATAATAATCTTTAAAAATAATTCCACCTGATCATTATACTTTTCCGCCACTAGAAAAAGCATTTTTATCTTATTAAGTGTCATTTTTGCATTTTTAAGATTTTTCTGCGATTTTCCACATTCCATGTAATTTAATGTTCTATATCCGGTAACCCGCTATTTCAGGGTTCATAGATGTGCGTCGTTTCTATACATTGATATGCGTTTACAACACTAAGACACATAAAATCATATTGCTTCAGAATTCGACCACTATTTGCTTTGCTTAAACTGAACTGCTTCGTTCTAAAATCCCTGTCTTTTAAAAGTCAGCATGACATAAAATTTCTATATTTGCTCCAACACGTGGTACATGAAAACTGCAGGTGCTAAATCATGTTCATTATATATACTTATGAATACTTGTTTAACAAGTCAGCATCATCTGTCATCATTAACAGGAAAAGCAATTTAATTTTAAAATATTATTATTTCTGCAACTCATATCCATTAAAGTTATCTGTAGATATTCATCAAACGAAATTTACCTTGTCGTCATTAGATAAACTGTTACTTTCGGATATGTTTCTTATTCGGGATAAATCTGTGACACAAAATTTATTATGATGGCGAAATTTATTTCTCTGACAATGTCATCCTCATGTTTGATTATGTTGCGCATTTGTAAGCTTTGCTGAAAAAGTGGACCGCTTTACCATGAAATTGGCTATCAAGTATTTAGGTAGAAACAAAACGAAAGATGTCCTAAATGAATATAAAAGCTGGCTTCTTGTTGCGCACTGGGATTATATAGGACCCTATTTGCCATTAGTCTTATTTACTACAACTTGAACTCTAATAGTCAACTGAATAAAGTGTTAATTTAGAATAAACACATAAATAAGCCTTCCAACTAATTGGCCCTAAACTAAGTTACTGAAAGAGCGAAAATCAGCTCATTTTGTAGT